TTTTATTTCAAGACAGAGACAGGTGAGCCACTTGGGAATTGTGACTACAAAGTGGTATCTATTGAAGTCTGCTTTTAAACTCTATATGCTTTTAAACTCTATAGGCAGCTTCTATTGTTAGGGCCTTCACATAGGCAGACTGAAGAAATGAGAGAGATCTAAAGAGGAAAACTGTGGTAACAGATATGAGGCAGAGGATAAGTGATAACATTTCAGAAATGTTTGTTTACAGCTGCAAAACAACTTCGGAACCCACAGCAAATTAATCTGAGTCCGGAAAACTTACTCATAAACATCTTTACAGAGAAATTAAAAGAAGTCTCAGCTGAGCGAAGGCTTTTGTAATAAACGCAGAAACATCAAGAGGCAAAAGAAGCAAGACGAACAGCAGATGAATTACGATAATTGGATGACAAAGAGACAGAGTAATGAAAATTGCCTTGGGGCAAAACTGTTTTTTCAACACAGCAAAAGGATAGTCCTGATAGAATTTAAACACTAATAAGTGGCTATAGAGATTGATGTAGAAATGGCGAATATCTTGCACAGCTGTTTCCTCATCAAAAACTGAATAATCAGCTCCAGGCTAAAATATGCACCACTCAGTGTGGAATAATATGCAGGGTACAGGAGCTGAACCAACACAGGTATTTCAGAAATGATTTGAAAGGAATGACAGATATTATTCAGAGATCTTTCAACAGACACTTGAGACAGGGTTTTTTTTTTGCAGGAAAATCACAATTGTAATATCCATCTACAAAGGGGGGTGGAATTGATCCAGGTTTTACTTCTGATGTGTGTTCAAGAAAGTTGTGAGAAACATTTCTAAGAGCTCAACTGACGGTAACAGGAGGAGATGTCTGCTGCTGGTTTGGAGAAGGTAGATCTTGCTTACCTAAAAGGCATTAGATTTCTAGACGCCTGTATAAAAGATTCATGCTGACAATTGGATGTACAGAAAGATGCCCGTATGGATTACGAGTTAACTAGTGTGCAGAAAACAGTATAAATTAAAAATACAAAATGTGTCAATATTATCACCAAGATGCTACTGCGCTCTGAATTTGACCGGATATACATCTATGATCCAGACCCAGACTTACTATATTTGTTTTGTCAAATATAAAGGTGTTCCTGCCAGTGCTGCTGTCACAAGACTCTTTGGTTCAGTTCTAGACTGGGGAACCATCAGTATGGAGTTTGCATGTTCTCCTGTGTCCACATGGTTGGTTGGTCTACATGGAGGGTTTTTGTCTGGGTGCACCGTTTCCTCGCACCTCTCAGAAGCAAGCTGGCTAGGTTATTTAATCTCTGTAAATTGTCCTGCGTGTTTTGTAATGGACCACAGTTCTGTCCAGGGTGTCATCCTATCTAGTGCCCTGTGCTTCTGGAGCTGTCCCCAGATTGGCCCCAGTCTCACCAGGAATATCGCCTTTCTGATAGTTTCGTCTCACTGTTAGTGCTTGCATAAAATTAAAACATAACAGGTCTAAAAATACATATGTATACACATGAGTGCTGGCATTAAGGCATCACAGGACTGGAGCAACCAAGTATGTAAGGATTAAATTAAAAAGAAAAGTCAGCATTTACACTGTGTGCGTCCTAATTCTTTTTAAATTTGCTTTTCTTGTAAGAAAAAAAAAGTTTCTAACAATTCGAATTTCTAGTTTCCTGGAAAGATATGGCCAGAGTCACAAAGGCATCCCCTACCCTGGCGCTTTAAAAAGGAACAGCCTCTCTTTAGTCGAGCAGGGGAAAAGGGAGAGGATTTCTAAATCAATATATCATGATAATTGTTGACTTATTAGGTTCAGCAATGATCTAAAGATCCAAGGACAAATGAACAGCAGTGTAGTTTTGGTGGAAGCATTTCTCTTCCATAGATTTGCATTTGACTTTTGCATGAGCTGGATATGGAATTTGAAAGTCTGCTTGTAGTGTCCAGTACCTCATCTCCACCCTGGTCTGCCATTCATCTCTATAATTAATTAATAATAATTAATAATAATTACTTACACTTATATAGCGCTTTTCTGGACATTCCACTCAAAGCGCTTTACAGGTAATGGGGACTCCCCTCCACCACCACCAATGTGCAGCACCCACCTGGATGATGCGACGGCAGCCATAGTGCGCCAGAACGCTCACCACACATCAGCTATCAGTGGGGAGGAGAGCAGACTAATGTAGCCAATTCATAGAGGGGATTCCAATTAATCTCTACAGAAGACCACCCCTCTGCTTCTGTTGTTCGACATCATTTTAAAGATAGGAATTTAATTCTTTTTTTCTTAGCTGACGGAGCTTTTCCTTAAATGTGTCCTAGCACTTCCTCTGGATTTTTCTAAGATCTCAGGTGTACTGCTTGTTTGTTTCCAGGGTTAAGACCCCCAGTCACTTTCACAACCGACAGAACAGCAGCCTACTCCTCTCAATTGTAAGTGAGCCTGTTACACAAAGTACAAAGGTTGACTACACATGACTCTCTGCAATGCAGTAAACTGGGATGTAGGTTCTAAATTGTGGATGCCTTATTGAAGGTAGGGCCTTTAGCCTTCAGGCTGTTGGTTTAAGGACAGGTATAATGACAGCTTGCAGATAACAGTACAGGCCATAATGTTCCAGCCAGTGCTGAGTTCAACTCGGTTTTCCTCCATGTCTTCTCATGAAGAACGGGATCTGCCTTCAAAGGGACGTGCCCCTGCTCTTTCTGAATATTCGCGTCTTGGCTGTCAGCAGTCTCCTTGCAGGTATGCAATAAAGGTGATAAGGAGGGATTTCTGGATCATTGCTGTTTCCTGTTTGCTTATCTGTGAACTTCAATCTGAAGCTCTTTCAACATGTTCAAGCCGAGTTCTAATTCCAGAAGAATTCCTTGTTTTGATTAAATGTTTTTTTTTCTTAAAAAAATGCTTCTGGTCTTTACTCAAGCCTTTTCAGATGTGGGAGCCAAATTACCAACGGTGGTTAGGGCTTTTCTAATGAGTACAGAGATCGACGTTGAAGATTAAAGTCAAAATTTGTCAAATTAATCATGACCTGCAGATAAAAATACAAGGTATGCCTTGACTGATTTTAATTGCTTTAGTATGAAGCTATTTTGTGGAAGATTACCTTTAAAATGGGAAGCTGAAAAAATTCAGAACTGTTGTCAATCAGGGCTATAATTTTGGCTTTGGCTGTGGGGCTGTACAGTAGCTTACTGCCACCTGCTGGGAAAACATTGTGTTTTACAGCTTTAGAAACTGCTTTCCAGATAACACCAAGGGGATTACCCATGATGTGAGGTTACAGTACTGACCACATCAAGCTTTTGTACAGTTTTCAGTTTTAAAATATTTTATGTAACTCTCATCTCATTTTAAAATTATGTGCATGCAGGTACCCATCATACACAATCATACTTAAACTGTGATGATTACAGTAATATTTTAGACATTTTTAGAAAACAGATGAAGCAGAAATGATTGTTAATTGTGTGATGCTGTAATGTATCATCCAGTCTGAAAACCCATTTCCTAAATTGTTGTACATGTTTTCCTAAAAAATGCACATTCATTTGAATTTTCCTTGAAATTCTCCCTGCCCCACGCTTCCATATTGTTCTCTGGAACCAACACAGTAGAGACTTGTGTGATGTCCTGCTAACGCCCTGGTATTTCTCCAGTTCAGTCTGTCTCTCTTGTGTGTCTAAATGTCTACAGTTTGACAGAAAGCAAAAGGCACTTGGCACACTATTGCATCAGTTCTTGCTTGTGTTACATATGGGTTTGAAAGTCATGGGTTTTGAGCTTTTAACAGAGCCTTCTCATTTCTCTTGCAGATATGTGGAGGCGGTATTAAATATGTGACTTAAATATGGAATTACAGCCCATGTGTATTTTATAGATCTGAGAATTGTAGGTATCATTGCCAGGCATCATTATTTTTGTCAGTGTAGCTTACGTTTGACTACTGACATTTTGTTTTGTAGTTGATAGGTTGATATGTACAAAAATGCAACATGATTCCATTCTCTCCTGGAAGTATTTGTCTTCAAAAGTGATACTTAATTGTCCTCATTCCTAGCCCATAGCCCACTTGCAGATATAACTGCTAAGGTGATTTAGGAGACACATTAACACTTGGCGTGTTACAGTGCTCTTTTCTGTATGGTGTTGATAAGGGATTGACCTTCCTAGCAGTGCAGGAAAAGTGATATGGAATACTAAAAGTTATTTTATTCTTAACTCCTTACAAAACCAGGTGTACTGGAGTGATAATTAGTGATCTGCTGTTTTGGTCTGAAGCAGTGATTTCCAACTGTGGTCCTAGTCCCAGTTCAGCAGGACTTGTACATCACTGTTGAATGATCTGGAACAATCCCATTGTAATTAATTAAACATGTGATTTGCTAAATTTAGGACTGAAATCTAAGTGTTCTTAATTGAACACGTTACTTGCTGGATTCATCAATATCTTACAGGTGCTGCCAATCTTTAAAAACAGGCTATCTACTGTACAAGACTGACTGGTTGGAGACCCCTGTATTAAAGTATACTTTACACTAACATTCCTGTACCCATTGGTGAGCAAGGTACACATTAGTTAAACGCATGGACCTGTAAGACAAACTGTATACTACTGTATTTGATAAAACAACACCCTAAAAAGGGTGACAGTGATGTTTAAATGCTGCAAGAAGGACATTTTTTGTGTTTTTGACATTATCAGATTTGGTTGTATATTTGGTGAATTTGATTCCCATTAGAGAAGTTAGTCTTTTTGTTTAGTCTTATTTCAGAACTGAAATAAAAACAATCCTTGTAGGTTGTGTTTAAGAATCTGCTCATTGGTTGTGTTCTCCGCACAAACGCAAAGAGCCGAGCAAGAGTGTCAAATCACAAAGGAGTCTGTCCTGATCATTAAGTAATCTCCTGATCCTGATCATGAGCATGATCTGCTGCAATCGGAAGGTATCGCAGCTCACCAACATGCCTGTGTGTGTGTTTCAGGTTGCCCGTGAGGCCTGCTCTGCTGCAATCGCAACTTTATGCTCTGATGGGAGATTCAGGTCCCCGGCGCTCCACCCTCGTCTCAAGGTTGCCCATCTTCCGACGGAGTGCGAGCAAGAGGCAGGGCTCGCTGCCTTCTTCTCCATCCTCTTCCGGCAATGCCAACGGCGTCCACACCTCCTCGCCGTCCAGCACCAACTCCAGCTCCAGCAGCACCGGCAAGCGCCGGAGCATCTTCCGGACGCCCTCCATCAGCTTCCACAGCAAGAAGAGTGGCGAGCCGAGGCTCGAGACCACCGAGCTCGGCTTTCCCAATGGCGGCCAGGCGCCCGAGCTGGCCTTCCCCAAGCCGGAGGAGAGCATCAGGCCCAAGAGCAGACATTCCTTTGGTTTCGTGGGAACCAGGAGCAAAAAGATCACCAGGTCCCAGACGGAGGATTTCGAGAAAGCGTCCACCAACCGCAACGTGTTCATAAACTGTATCAGCTCGGGGACCAACGAGGGGGACGACTCGGGGTTCCTGGATGACTACAGCAGCAGGCGCTCTTCGAAGCACAAGAAGCAGCTCCTGCCCAAGTCCTTCTCATCGCACTACCGGTTGTCAAAGCAGGGCCTGCCGGCCTACGTGTCTGACCCGCCGAGAGGGAATGCCCAGCCTCCCAAGGCTGAGACTCCTGGGTCTTGCCCCGGCGAGCTGGCAGAGAGCTCCCTGCAGTCCCCGATGCTTTCCGATGACCGCACGACAGCACTCACTCCCTCTGAATTCGTCCCCATCACCGAGGACTCGGTCTCGGAGGTGGAGGCGCTGCCCAGCGCGAGCCCCGCCGTGCCCCGTGAAGGCGACTTCAGCCACGTCCTCACGGCCTCGCAGGTCTTCTCCAACCCCGTCCTGCCCGAGGAGGAGCCTGTGCAGTGCGGGTCCGAGACCGCGGGTGCCGAGAGTGGAGCAGATGTTCCGAACAGTGAGCCCGCTGAGGAGCGCAGAGAGGAAGGCGCTGAAGGCACTCAAAATGGCCCAGTCGACGAGCTCGCACCGGTACGCGAGATTGCTGATGCAGATTGCACTGAGCCAGAGCAGATGCCTAGCGAACAGACTGAAACTAAACTGAGCAACACCGTCATAATCCAAGAACCATCCAAGGTCAGCTGTGTGAAGCCAGAGGTTAAATCGTGCCACCCAAGGAGAACACACACAGGTAACGCCGCCCTCAACATTTAACACTGGCAAATGTATCACTTGGTTTGGTTTTTAATTGACCCAGCTTTCTTATGGGCTGACTGTGTGTGAAGTCCATGAAAGTGACGCCAGCAGCCTTATCATCCTGCAGCTCACAACTGGCAGCCCAATGATCCTAAGCAGGTGTGAGCCTGGTCAGTACCTGGATGGGAAACCCTCTGGGAAAGCTAAAGTTGCTGCTGGAAGAGGTGTTAGTGGGGCCAGTAGGGGGCGCTCACCCTGCGGTCTGTGTGGGTCCTAATGCCCCAGTATATTGACGGGGACACTATACCGTAAACAGGCGCCGTCCTTCGGATGAGGCGTAAAACCGAGGTCCTGACTCTCTGTGGTCATTAAAAATCCCAGGGTGTTTCTCGAAAAGAGTAGGGATGTTACCCTGGTGTCCTGGCCAAATTTCCAATTGGCCTTTATCAGTCACACCTCCTCACTGATAGCTGGTGTGTGGGGAGCGTACTGATGCGCTATGGCTGCTGTCACATCATCCAGGTAGGGCTGCACATTGGTGGTGGAGGAGGGGAGTCCCCATTACTTGTAAAGTGCTTTGAGTGGAGTGTCCAGATATGCACTTTATAAGTGTAAGGAATTATTATTATTACAATATTCAACATTGTCCATAAATTCTGCATTATTTTCCTTATTATTAGAAGGAAAGACAAATTATTAGTTCAGTTCAGTTTATATGTCATATGGACAAGTGAAATGGAATGCTTATTTGCATGTATGCTCCAGTACAAAGACATTAAGGAGTCACCAAAAACATAAACTCAGAACAGCAGCAATAACAACAAGTTAATTCTGTGGTGTCTACATGGTTGTTTGGCCATGTTTGAAATGACACGGCTTTACCATATACAGTAAGAAGGCCAGTGGAAGCAGTTTGCAAAGCTTTCCTGATGAAAATATTTTTTTCCGCACTCAGAACACTTGTCAAATTCAGTTTTACATGTCCCAGTAATTGTTTGTGCTCTGCCTATGCATATGGCCTTAATTTATCTCTTAAGATTCAAAACTGATTCAACAATCTGGACCCACATTAATCAGTTGTCTGTCTGATTAAAACCCAAAGCAACATCTGAGATTTCTGTTCAACAGTTTGTAACTTGTCTTCAGATAACGCAAATATTTTCAGTGGTCGACTTTGAAAACAGGAAGGTTTGGTGACTTTTGACTTGAAGAAATATGCTTTTAAATTAAAAAAAGACCCTCATCAGTTCCTTAGTTGATTAATCGGTTCGTTAAGCCCCTAATCGGAACATCCCTAATGTCAATCCCTTGTTCTGTGAACTGATCGAGCTGCTGCTCTGTTCCAGTTACAGTGGGGTGCAGCATCAGCCCGTACCACGAGATTAAGCGAATGGAGCGGCGCTTGCGATCAGCTTCTGAAGGCACTGCAGGAGGCACCCGGCTACACCTGAATTTGAAGGAGGCCCACTACGGAGAGATCAGTACTCTTCAGAAACAGAGGGCCAACTCTTCATCCTCGAAACTGGACAGCCTGGTGAGTGGCCAATAGAAGGTCGTTTAGTGTTGTGCTGCTCAAGCACTGCTCAGGGGAAGGAGTACTTCTTGGTCTCAGTTGGATGAGAATCTCCTAGCATCTTGGAATTTGCATGCCTTCTAAATTACTCTGACCAAATCACAGTGCTTGGGAGACAGAACTGACAATTCTGCCTTTTTTATTTGTCCATATAGTATAGACAGTATCTAAGGAGGCACAGGTAGGCGTCTGGACTCTGAACTGGAGGTTGTGGGTTCACATGCCTAGTGTGCTCCACTCTTGAGCAAAGGACTGCTCTCCACTAAAATACCACACTGTTTAAATGAGTATTTGCATAAATTGGTTTGGACCCATTTTACACTGTCACTCAAATAAACCAATAATATTTCTAGCACACTTACTCACGCACTTGGAAATCACAAAATGTATGTTCCAACTGTCTTGCGATACATGGAAAGTCAACATTGCTCTTGAAGTAATGTTTTCTTTAAAAATAATTTAAAAGAGGGTGCTAACCTACAGATTTTGTAAGATCTTAATGTAAAGAAATTAAGAAAAAAAAGCAGAAGCTGCTGTGACATGGGAGTGACTAGAGACTCCTGTTAATCCACGGACACAGCAGATTATAATACTGGTACTCAAAGAGCATTTTTACCTTTCACCACGAGATGGCAGTAGAGTAATTTGTAGCCTATTTGACTGCAAAATTTCTCCTATGGTGGGTATTTCTGTTTACCTTCTGCTTAACAAAGCTCAATTAAAGGTTGATCTAAAGATAATAATAATCAGATTACCCAATACTAGAACATTGAATCAAGCACACTCATCCTAGGTTTTTTTTTTAATTTCTCCAGTAAATTAAATTATCTGAATAGGAGAAAAATATAGGATTATCCATTCATATCCAATAACTGCGTAGTCCAATACATGGGTATGCTGAGCAGACAGTGGGCATGAGGCAGGGTGCTGCCTTGAGGGTTTGACGACCCATGCGCTCACTATGGGTCCCCACTTAGAGAAGCCCATGAAATGAGACCGCATGTCTTTGGGCTGTGGGTGGAAACTGAAAACCCAAAGAAAAGCCATGTGGTCACGGAAGAAGAGCATACAAACTCCATACAGAAGGCACCCTTGGCCAGATTTGAACCTAGGGCCCGAGAGCTATGGGCCATACAGACCCAATACAGGATAATTTAGATTAAGAGAAATATCTACAAATCCTGTTAAATGACAATTTTGCCATGAATTTAAAACTAATATTCTTTTAAGTTCTTTGTTTAATCTGTTGTTTTAAAACATGTCTGAGATATGTTATGTATGATTATGTTTTAAATGAGTTATTAAATGTACAGTACTTATCTCAACTGAGACGCTCAGATACTTATCTCACCTGAGATGAGCTCATTAAAATATGTACTCATTTGCTCAACTCATGGTTTTAAATGAGTACATGTTTTAATGTGTATCTCAGGTGAGATGCTGCTGTGTCTGCACACCAAATATATTAGATGGGCCGTGTGGTTACAAACGACTGAAGAATATTCTCAGCACTTTTCTCTCATGGCCCACACCTTCCTCTTGCTCTCTAGCCCTGTTTCCTAGTACCAGTATCTAGAGAGCACATAAGCCCTTCACCTGAAAGAGGGCACGATTCATTGAAGAAGAAAAAAAGAGCAGGTTACACACGTGGAGAGCCTTGCATCTAGCCTATTGAACAAGGACGCAGGTCATGAGAGCTGTGAAGACGTGGGAGCAGATGGTTGCTATGTGCACGATTGTGTTTCCAGGGATACTGTAGCCTTTTGACTTCTCTTAATTTTCCTGCAAAGGTGCGTGGGAAAAGTGGAAATATGGCTGCGCTCATAAGACTACTTTAATGACTCACTGGGATTTGTGTGTGCTGGGGTGAATGACTTCTTGTATCCGAGACCAGGAAATCATTGTGAACTAGTGAAATACCCACTTTTAAATTTTAATTTTTCTATTGTTTTTTCTTCACCTCACTTATAACATTATTCTAATATCTTTTGTAACATGAATATTTCATAGCATACTGATGCCATATAACAGTGGGTAATGTGACAGCTGAAAGAGAAATGATATTAGGCACTGTATTTGGGACATCTGATAACTGGGCCTGCTTCACGTGTTCTGTTAGGCTGGGACGAAGTAGCAGATTGCTGCTCATGTTTTTGACGCATGAACCTGCTATGTGAACTGGGGAGTGAGCTGTTAGGATAATGTATAACATCTCTGTCAAGGAGCTACGACAACCCACCAGTCTTAAAGAGCAAAGAGGAACTGCTTTCTGTGAACTTTCAAAATGTGTGTTCATTTCAAATTCAGGAAAATAAAATGTGTTTATATATTGCAGTATTGGCAATTAATCCATTTACTAGAATCCTACATCTGCTTCACTTGGATGTAATGTGGTTATTGTTTGCTTCTTGACTTGATCTCTTTTGACAGTGCACCTCATTAAACCTCATGGGCACACAACTTTTGACTGTGCTCTGGTCTTTTTTTAGTTTGAGCCATAATTAATTTGGATCTGGTCGAAGATTATTAGCTTCTCTGTGTCTAGAGTTGATGGCTGACTCATTTTGTCACAATCCTCCCTTCTAACATTTAAAATACATTTTTTTTGAAGGCCCAGATTTAGAGCTTAAGAATTTAATCATGATGTGACCTCTTGATCCTGGTGCTGTAGTTCAGCTTTCCATGTTATTTTGAACTTTTAAGAAAAAAACGTTCTTCATTAAATGTGCTTAATAAATGAATTACGTCCTCCACTTCCCTTAATTGTAACCTAATTTTCATTGAGTAGACACAGCTTATGTTGAATTAGGTCATGTCTGTCATGGACAGTCTTCTGCAGCACAAGCATTAAGGTAGTCAATTGGTAGTCTTTGCAGTAGTCATTTGGGTAACAAAACCAATCTGACTACCCAACTGCTTACTAAATGAGTCAGGTAAGTAAATTGAAACAAATTGTGTTTCAGTAACTGTAAAGCACACGTTTTAGATTCCGGGCACATACTTTTTGCATATTTATATTCATGGCAGTGTGGGAGGACTTTCACAAAGTTAATTTGACTGTTTCACACTTTCAGTAATTTCCATTTTTTAGAAGCAGAATCCTGCCAGCTTTTATTAAAGTTGAAGCCAGTGCAGTGGAGGGTGTCTGTAGGTCTTCCTTAATCTATTTAAACCTTTGTCTTCTGGTGACTAACAGGAACTGTCAATCTACAAAGTGATCATGTTTCCTCATGTCAGTGGAAGATGCTTGTGATGTTTTCTGTTGCCAAAAGCTTCGTTTGGGTGTTACTGGGTGCTGTGGGATTTTTGATTGGCACATCAATTACTTTGTAATTAGCAGCACATTGTGTTTCTTCATCAGCATCCTTGAGAGATGGACAGGCTCACAATGGTAGAGTCAGGCAGGTCACTTGCAGAAGTGAGTAATAGAAAGAGCAGAGGAAGTCTCTATGCAGGTTTGCTGGATATTTAACTTGGTAATCACAGAGTTATTAGGATTAAGGAAGCACTTAATTCCTATTTTTGGTCTGAATACAATCTCTGTCTTGAGGTGTTTTATAATATAAATTTCCTCAGAGAAGCTCAAATAATGTTTAGTCAGTGAACAACACATACAGTTGTGAGAAAAAGTTTGTGAGCCCTTAGGAATTATATGGATTTCTGCATGAATGGCCCCTAAAAATGTGATCTGATCTTCATCTAAGTCATGTTAATAAATAAAGAGTCTTATTTGGTTATTTCAAATGGTTTAAACAATCAAGGGCATTGGTGGAAAAAGTATGTGAACCCTTATATTTAGGAACTAGTGGAACCTCCTTTATTGGCAAAAACCTCAACCGCTTTCTGTAGCGGCTGATCAGACCTGTGCCGCAGTTAGGAGGTATTTTGTCCCATTCCTCTATACAAAACTGTTCCAGTTCATGTATATTTTTGGGATGTCTTGCTTGAACAGCCTGCTCCATATCATGCCACAGCATTTAAATGGAATTGAGGTCAGGACTCTGACTTGGCCATTGTAAAATACGGAATTTCTTCTGTTTGAGCCACTCTGTTGTTGATTTACTCCTGTGTTTTGAATCATTGTCATGTTGCATGACCCAACTTCTTTTGAGTTTTAGATCACAGACAGACACCCTGACATTCAGCTGTAGAATTGCCTAATACAACCTGGAATACATTGGTCCCTCAATGACTGCAAGCCTTCCAGGCCCCCGAGGCAGCAAAGCTCCCCACACCATTATACTTAGTCCACCATGCTTTACAGTTGGGATGAGGTTTTGGTGTTGGTATGCAGTGTTTTGTTTTCTCCAAACATAACACTATGTACATTTACCAAAAAGTTCAAGTTTTGTCTCATCTGTCCACAGAGCATTGTTTCAGTAGTGCTGTAGAACATCCAGGTGGTCTTTAGCAAACTTGAGATGGGCAGCAGTGTTTTTTTTTGGAGAGCAGTGGTTTCCTACGGGGTAACCTCCCATGAACACCACTCTTGTTCAGTGTTTTTCTTATGGTAGACTCATGAACACAGACATTATCAAGTGCTAGAGATGCCTACAGGTCCTTAGCTGTCGCCATAGGGTTCTGTATCACCTGTTTGAGGATTGTATGGCGTGTCCTTGCATTGATCTTTGTAGGACGTCCACTACTAGGGAGAGTAGCAATGGTGCTGAATTTCTCCCATTTGTAAACTATCTGCCTGACTGCGGACTGATGGAGGCCCAAGTCTTTAGAAATCCTTTTGTAACCCTTTCCAGTCTTATGAGCTTTAACAACTCTTCTTCTGAGGTCCTCTGAAATCACTTTTGATCGGGCAATATTGCAGTTCAACATAATTCTGTTGTGAAGAGCTGATAACCAAAATTGTGTGATTTTTTTATGTAGCAGGGCAGGTCAAACCCACAATTGAATTGATTGGAATGGCTGACTCATTAGTGCGAATACCTGAGCCCAATTACCCTCTT